ACGATCAAAATTTGAATTCACTGATTGGCTATTTCCTTTTTAGGAGTTTGTATTACCGGCACAAATAAGTAAAGCCTTTTGCCTATCCCTATCCTAAACACTCAATTCCTTTTCCGATTTCCAAATTTGATACTCAAATAAAATTTTTTAACCTCCCATTATTTTCGAAATACACTATATTTTTTTTTTTTGAAACCTAATATTGGAGATTATGTGCCAAGTAAGATTTTCCAGGTTTGGCTTTATAGTTTGGCCGTTATGTATACCTATACTACGCGTTATGTATCATAGAACACCACTTCTGGTATCTAGAACGAATTATTCAACCAAAAAAACACTGTGATTGCTTTCATTGCAACAGAATTGAAGAATGTTATGTCAAAGTTATCGTATTGTCGCAAAATAACGGACATGGGCGTTGTTTAGAATAATGGCATGAATTAAACTTAATTTAGGCCGAAATTCGTTTTCGCCATGCGCGACAATACGGCGCGATGTTTTTTTAAAAAAGAGCTGCAGCATTTGTTTTCTTTTCAATGATAAATACCTTGAGTCTAAATCTTGCAAGGACATTTCTTATCAGTGTAACCTAAATCTTTATACTCAGAGTACATTGAGAACATTGGATTTCAAACACTGTTCACGAATAATATGTATAAATTCCGAATTTAAAATGTCAAACTAGTTTTCTACAATGCTGAAACTAAATAGTACCTAATTTTTCATATGGTTAGCTTTATTGATCATCGCTTGTCCCACAAGATCATTTGCATTTTGACCATAACTTCCAGTCTGTACAATTCTTCCAAGAACCTTCAATGCCTTCTCATTCAACGTTGCAGATATTCTTAAATATTTCATTGCAGCTTCATACCCATCTCCCTCAAATTCATCAGAACTATTTAATAATGCTAACGCGTACCAATATTGAGCATCCGGATTATGCAACTCTGAAGCTTTTCTAAGGAATTTCATTCCTTCTTGAAGGTTTTGCTCAACATAATGTCCTTTAAAGTAATAAAAACCCACCCAAAAATTTTCATAAGGATCTTCAGGTTTGTCATTATAACATTCATTAAATAAATTCCACGCATCTTCATATCTCTTATTTTTATGATGGCCAATACCTTCTTCTATTTTATCAGATTTGGATGGATATTGATTTATATCGATATTTGTGATGTTAAAATCAAGCAGATCATCGGCATCCTGACCAGAAAAATGTTTAAGGTCTAGCCTATCCAATAGTCCTGAAATTTTCTTCATATCATAACGTTCAGAAGGATTATGATTCCAAGAGTTTTTAATAATATCATTGTATTCGTCTGGTATACCGTCTACGGCAGTAAGTTCTAGGCGGTCTTTGTTTTTAAATATTTGGAGTTTGATTTCTTCCTTTGAAGTTAAAGTAATAAAAGGCGTTTGTTGATACTCAATAGCCCACATGACTAGTGCGAAACTTTTTAATATAAAAATAGATATTATGTTTGAGAATTATGAATTACGTATTTTGTTTGAGAATCATGAATTAAAGTAAGACCACCCTAAGTGCACGCTCTATGCCCCAACTCATAAGAGCACTATATATTTTGTTCTATATAAATTCACACTTTCTTTAAGTGCAAGTGGGTGCACTTAGGAAGTTTTTATTGTAATTGTAAATATTTGATCCTAAAGATTACCTGTATACATCACTAGATTTTCCGTATTGTTCACCGTGAATTCTTTCTGGTGAACTCCATCTAAAATAACAAAATGGTTTTAAAAAAAGAATAAGAAGCATATGTCAGAATAAAAATAAATTACCTTAAAATACTAATCGGTAACGATGTATGCTCCTCATTACTTCGGAAATTATATAGTTTAGGTTGCAAATTCTTATTTAACAATATATTGGAACTAATAAATTAAAGAATTTTAGTTAATAATTTATATATTATTATTATTATTATTATTATTATTATTATTATTATTATTATTACTATTATTATTATTATATAATACGTATATACTAACGTTCTAATATCATAATGTAAAATATCCTTCTCATGGCAATAAGATAATGCATTAGCAATTCCACGCGCAATTGATAGTTTTTCAGTTGGATCTAACTGATGGTCATTAAGGTAGGCTTGCAAATTATAATCAGCCCACTCTGAAATAACGGATAAACCACCACCGGATCGTTTACAGTACCCGTAGCTTTAAAAGAAAAAAAAAACTTCTACGGTTATTTCAATATAAAAGATAATTTAAATAAATATAAACTTACAATTTAAGAATATTTGAACATTCACAAAGGTCTCGCATCAAATTAATTTCTCTCTTCAATTCATCTAAATGTTTATGAGTAGCCTTTTCTGCAACTTTATATATCAAAATTTTACCAGCAGTCTCTGCTGCAACATTGTCTTTTCGATAATCTCGTTGAATTATATGATCATTACTTCCTCTAACTAATCCACCACCTGAAAGCTCACTTTCAGTAATATTACAACCAACTTGTTGTCTTTTAATCGTATTTAATATTCCAAATAACGCTAATATATTTTTGATTGTTTTCCAATCGTCTCTTTTGCCTTTGCCTGGCCACTCTTTAATTGACTTTTTCAATTCGTCAATCCTTTTATTCATCTTATCTATTGTACTATAGAGCTATTTATTATCGGAAATTATAAATTATGTTCATAAAAACGAATATATTAAAATTAAATTTATATAAAAATTATAAATACGTGTTTACATACTTCGTCTTCAATATCTTCCTTAATATTAATATTATCATAATAAGTGGCACAAAGATCAATTTCAAAGAATTGAGATTTAAGATTTTGAAAATCTATGGACTCTTCGATGAAGGTTTGAAATTTGTTGTTGCCAGTTTTATCATCAATGCTCTTAATTTCTTTTAATAATTCTTTACCACGTTTCGTTACATCCAATCCTTTGTCACCTAACTCCTTATCACTTAACCGTTTATTTTTTAACTTTTCGAACGCTGTTTCGGCATTTTCGAGTACGAGATCTATAAAAGTTTTTTTTATTTCAGGTGATTTACTATGCATTTTTTTTTTAAAAAAAAAACAATTAATTAAATGGACTTGAGAGCAAAGAGACAGTTGGAGACGGCAAATTATAACAATTTATAATCATTTTGAAAAATTACTATAAATTTACAACCGACTTAGTACTGTACGTATTCGGAATTAGAATATTCATGATGAAAAAAAAACTTTACAATATGCATAAGAAGAAAAAAACTTTATCACACAAGAGCCAGAATGGAAATATTAAAAAATATTTTTATAAAGTTTATCTAGATACTAATTTTTCCCAAAGAACGCCAATGACGTCCCAAAAGCAATCTTACTGAAAGGGAAAAAAAGTTCATTGCTGTTACCAATTTCATCAATAGCAATGAATTTTAGTGTTCCCAAAGTAAACCGTTTAAATGGCTTGTCTTCCACTCTAGTCCGGATTACGGAAGTCCGTTGCTTATAAACGAATGATTTATAAATGTGCGCGATTAATTAAACTCCGATGGATGAATTCCGAACACCGGAGTTTTAATTAGTCGCAGCATATCTATAGCTAAGCCACCTGTTACCCAAGTACACGAATTTCTAAGACTATATATAGATGATCATATTACAGTACTCGCTGCTATACCTATATTGTTAATCGAAATTTTTGAATTTCTTCAGCGTGTCTATGTGTTATCTGATCAATGTTGGGACATTCTTTTAAAAAATTTTCTACAAGATTAAAAATTGGGTGTACTTTAATTAATAATCACTCTATCCCGATATCGAGACTAGTGATATGCCGCGTATAGTAAGTATGCAAAAAAAAGTTTAGAATATTCTAGAACAAATCATAAAACCATTCATATTTCAAAAATTTCCCTATGAAACCGCCTTTTGTATTCTAAGTAAAATTATTCCTTGCGAAATTTTGCATATATCATACGTGTACTATACATATTGCACATGCTATACACACTATACGCACTAGATGCACTATACGTACTGTACGGATATCATATAAATGGCACATCACTAATCGAGACACGTAGTTCTAAAAATACATTCCTTCCCGTGAAGTTTCTTAAAATTAAATATATTGATAATTTCCTTTTTGAAAATTGTAAAAAAAAAAAATAGTACGTATACGTATAGTAATTAAATTTTTTTAAGCTTAATTTGCAAACCAATTTTGGTATGATTGCCAACATAATGCAGATTACATGGTAAATCTTATATAGTAAGGATTTACACAAATTAAATTATATTTGTTGGGATGCGACGATGATTTCTTACAAGATTTTAATACTTGATTTTTTTTTTATCTTAACACGCTAAGAAACGGAATGAATTTGTGTTACACGACAGACAGAAAATTCACAAGTTACGTATGTACAGTACATATGTCGCATCTGAAGTTGCGATTTATCTGGAATTGCCCTTTAGATATCTAAAGTAGCACCTGACTGGAATTAAGTTCCTGAAATTAGGTAATTCTAGTCAGGTGTTACTTTAGTGGCAACTTCAGATACGACACATGTGTGCATTTAAATCTTCATTATCCGGCAAACACTTATGATCATATATATATTTCTGCACGTTATTTTTTTCACGTGATACGATGTGATAATGCTTATTCAAATTAAAACGCAGCCGACAACTCCCTACCAATCATTAGTGATACAAATTGCCAAAAAATTTTCAATCGATTAGTTGACAAATTCAAAAATTTTCAATCGATTAGTTGTCAACTAACCGATTTATCGATTTTGATCGATTATTTTATTATAAGTTTACTAAATTTTCCAATCGATTAATTGTTTTTTTCAAAATTTTCCAATCGACTTGTCGATTAGTTGACAACTAATTCAATTTTTCGATTTTCGATTTGTATCACTACCAATCATGATCATAAATTGCCGGATAACACCATTATAGTGCAAATTTGCGAATACAGTAATTTGGCAAATGATTGGCTCACGTGCCGCTTTGCGGCACGTGTTCATTTGCCAAATTGCCGTTATTCACAAATTTTTGCCCAATAATGTATACTTATATCCACTATTATATGATTTTGCGGCCCGATTGTCATGTAAGGTACGGTACGCATTTAGTTTTCCAGTTTTGTTCAATTGCGTGTTGGATTATTTTTAGTCATGTATAGTGATCGCGCCGAATTTGGTTATTCCATAGTATTTTTTAAATAGACAAAAGTGCTGAATTCGTTAATACCTAGTGATTGCAGTTCACTGAATACAGTCATATAAGATTTCAACCTGATAGAAATTATGCTATGCTGTTCGGAATGAGCCTTCAATTGCGAATAACTTGCTTGTGAACACATTCGTGTACAGCAATTATACAGAAATTTTCATTATTAATAATTATCTCAATGTTTTCAACCTTTATTATTGCAACTTGTGAAGAACCTCATATCTAAACTTTGACTTTTATGTGTACTTGAAGGGTTTAATTAGAATCCACGCAAGTTTATTCCAAATGAACAAAGGTTATAATAAAATTCTAAATAGTGTTCGAGTTTAGTGACTGAACTCGTCAACTCGTGACTCAAATAATTCGAATTTATCATTCATCGAATCATGAAAATTTAACTCGAGTTACTCACGAGTTAATTATTACTGTATAATTATGTGTCATTATGTTAAATAATTAATAAAAAATTTGTAATGATACATAATTAATATGTAATTTTAATGTAATTATATGTAAATCATTGAAATTTAAATATAATTGCCATATTTAAAAAATTTCAATAAACTTTAAAACATTTCCACCTATACAATACAGAGAAATAATGAATTCTACTCTGATAAAAGTACTATTATAGCAAAAGCACAAACCTTGATCCAGAATTGGTGAATGGATGTTATTTTTAGCAAGAAATATGAATTTACTACATACATTATTTCTGATATGTTCCGATTGACGAATAATTTATATGCTACTTTCATAACTTGTAATCTGTGATAATTGCTTTTATAAAATATAAAATTTGAATTATCTTTCTTTGCGAAGCTCATTATTTGAAGTATTTTTGCTTTTGTAATTCACAAAACTTTTAATAAATTAATTGTTGTGACTCAAATTAATTGAATAAAACTCGAATAAGTAATTTGACTGAACGATTTGAACATTCTTCAAAGTTTATTTACGAGTTACGAATTAATATAAGTCCAATCACTACTCGAGTTATTGAAGAATTCAAATTAAACTTACAATAAAATTAAGTGAATTCTTAGTGATCTTATCGATTATATTAAGTCGCCTTAAGATAAGGTTATTCACAACACATCGGATACACAGGTAGGCTTGATTTTATAAGAATAAAAAAGAGAACTAAAAATAATTAATTAATTAAGGGTAGGGTAGGGTATTATCTTAAAATTATATATATATTTAATGGTAAATTTTTTTTATATTTAATTTTATAAAAAATTATATTAAATAAACTAATTTTAATCTTTAAGTAAAAGTTTGTAGAGTAGGTCTTTCTAATTTTAGTGACAACAAAATTATTAAAATTAGTTAAAACTCATTAAGATATTGTTATAGAACGATTTATTATTATTTTATTATTATTAGTTATTATTATTATTATTATATTATTATTATTATTTA